TATCCCAGCAAATGTCTCAACATGCTAAAGACATTGGCGGCTCGAGTTATGAGAGACAGATGAAGGCTCCATTTGAATGAATAAAATTTTCTTCTTTGCAAAACAATCTTGCATGTAATTGCTATGTTAATTATCTCTCGAATGTTAAAAAACAGATAAGTTTCCAACATTAAAATACATATTAAAACATTCCACAAATAGTACAAATCAAAGGAAGTCAATGCTAACATTAGTTATGGCTTATTAATAGACTCCATTATTGAACTTTCAAAGTAAGAACAGTGCCATTAACTTATTCGAAGAAGAAATGAAGAAATCTACATTAACATTTAACTGAAAATCAATGCCTGCTATAATATACCTGCTTCTTTCATGTTCTGCACAATCAACTTATCAAAGAATAGCATTCTCTCGCAGTACCTAATGTACAATGTGTCAAAATCACACAAAAGATAGCCATCCTCCACCTCTGATTCCCTTCTTCGTTGGAGCTTGTCTCCTCTTCTTCCAGGTTGGACTCCTCCGGTATGAGGACCATAAAACTGTTCTTCCTCATCTCCTTCATCCTTTTCACCTCATTAGAAACAATATCATCATCTTCATCATCATAATCCTCTTTTTCCACACCTCCATCTCTAGCACCCACCTTCTGGCCAGACTCCATACTTTCAATCTCGAACTCATCTACGCGCATTTGATTAGTTTCCGGATCAGTGCCTTCTACTTTCAACTTCTGGTTCAGCCTGAATCGCTTCACTTTGAAGAAATTCATCTATATAACCCCAAGCTTAGTTAAATCTTGCAGATTCTAAACACCAAAGCCCATTAAATATCAGTCATGATACTTTTAATCAACCCCAACAAAAACTGCAAAACAATCTTCTTCCTTTTATTTCGTATGGAACTTTAGGGCAAAAAAGCAAAAAAAATGCCGAAAAAAAAGCGACAATCAAAAAGGATGATGACGGATAAACTTAGCAAAGCAACTATAAAGCCGATTAACCAATGAAAAGCGCAGCACCAAAGAAAACCCTAAATGCAGCAGCTCCCGAATTCATAAACAGCATCCAACATAAGTGCTCACACATTGAACCGCAAAAAATAGGAAGCAAACTGAAGAAAAATCCATCATCCAGCTCGCCTGAACCTTAGCAACCTCAAAAATACCTACTTCCTTATGATAAATGAACAAGCACTTGCTTACACTGATGCCTTCAGCTACCAAAGCGAGCTCAGAGAGTCGACGCACAGAAAATGCGCCCCGGTCTTCTCGGCTAGGGTTAAGTGTACAACTAGGACTAAAACTCCCACAAGCGCGCGCGAGAGAGATACAAAGAGAGGAAGATCAGATCCAGTCGCATTTCCCTCTCCTCAATTCGCTCGTCGCCATTAGATGCGAAAATGCAATTAAGAGTAAAAAATCCAAATTTGGGGATCGTAAGGAGAATGCTCTGAATCGTTCACCTTCAAAAACCCCACTCTTGGAAGCAGCGCGGGACGACGTACTGCCTGACAATGGAAGAAAGCGAGTTTACGTTTATACCCTCGCGTGATTGCCGTTGTCACCTACAGACCTTGACGAGACGGGGTCAAAGCTGTCGGCCGTTTAAGGGTATAAAGGTCAGTTTATTTCCACTGAAGCCCCGTGACAGCATAAAAAATTAGACAAATTTACATACATGCCACAACGTCGACGCACCAAATTCTTAACGCTTACATTTCTAAATTCTAATCAAACGTCCCCGGATTTTGTATGTCTTATGCTTATAGTTGCATCCGTATTTGTATTTTGATAGTTAGATTAGTTAAGTGAGTGAATGTGTGCTAGTCGTGATGTATTAATGAGCATTGTTTGTTGTGTAAATTATGATGAGAAATACGAGTTATTGTATCAGGATCAACATGAGTATGACTATGCTAAATATCTAATTGATCTAACTTGTATCACATTGCATATTGCGGGTGTGCATTTAATTCCCTATTTTAAAATTGAAATTTTTTATTTTTCTACTTATGATATTTATTATTTTTTAAAAGTTTTGCAAATATTAAGTTAGACCATATGCAAAGTCAACTCTATTTTAAAATTCATCTTGGATGACTTGTTAGATCCCATAGATCTTTAACATGGGGCCGGTGCGGCGACCTCGTTAAACTCATATATGCCACTAGACTTTACCCCTCGATAACTTAGATTTTGGTAAGGGAACTTTTTTTAGATGGTGTGCCTAGGATTATGGTGCTAAGTAGTTTTTTTTATGTCATGTTGTTATTTGTTAGTTTTGTTGCATTAGTCAGACATCACTTTACTTGTGTTTTTGTGTGTTTAC